ATCCTGTCAATTACCGACCGGCTTTGTCGAGTTTCGATGAAACATCGTTTCCACATTTATTCTTTTCCCTTTTGAATTCTCAAGCAGGTTCTCAATAGACATCATTTTTCCTCCTCCGGTATATTACGTAGACTTTTACTTGTAATCAGAAACAAGGTGGAACTTTGACGGAAGGGTATATTAAAATAACAATTTACGAGAGACGTACGTACAATATGCGTATAAGTGACAGGGAAATATAAGGATCTACGATTGAAAGACACAATAGAGCCGGATGATTTATTCGAATTCCTTTAGATTCTAGATTAAACAGATTACGATATTTCCGAGCATACACACGCATCGTTGCATTGTTTACAAATGAAGACACATGACTTGGTTCGGACTAATCGCGTCGGAGTAATTTATGCGAGAATTTCCGAGACGCCGGTATCGGTAGATTCGCTATATCAACGCGTTTACCGTGTACACACGACCTTTCAGTGATTCACACTCCGTAACGATTAACACTATCGAGCCTGATTATCCTATCTCATCGACCTTCGTTCATAGAGCTTTCGTTAACGTTATCTTCGAATATGCAGAAAAATAGAAAAGGAGTAAACAAAAAAAAATCGATTGATCGTTATCTACGGTGAAAAGAAATATAAACCGAGTTTGAAAGGAGATCCACGTGCTTATCCAGTTTGTAACGGGATAAATTGTTTGGCGAATTCATAATTCAGCCACGTTTGTCTACCTACCAATCTCGCTGGAACAACGTTTTCCGTCGGAATCGTTCGCACAAGTTAACGCAATCCTATTCCCGGTAAGTGCGGTCCCGTGTAACGCAACAGATGGATCGTGTCGAATGACTGTCTGCGGGCGGGAATAACAAAACTCACCCGACGTATGCAACAGGCGAACAGCGACATATCACCTGCTCCGAAGTGCTTAGTCACGATCGGTAACGTGGAAGCGCGGAAGTCACGTGAATCGGCGTTGGGAACGGTGGTATTCTGGAACGCGACGCAACGTCTGAATGTACCATTCGCGTCACCACTCAAAATTCACTATGGAACACCTCTGGTCACAAGTTTCGCGGTCGATCAGATGGCGCGTCCGCACGAGACGAGTCGCAAAACGGAACTTGTGTACAGGACGTGAAGTACACATGCGTGTTCGGGCGAGTTGCGCTCGCGCAGATTTTCCTTGTTGGATGACGTGACGGAAGGATTCATGTGTGTTAACGGAAGTTGAAGCAGATTGACATACAGATCGTTCGATGTTTATCATGAATTGATTACTTATTATTGGTTTTTAGTTCTGCTCTTTCGGTCTATGGGTATACTTTTATGATGGTTATTAAGTTGAGATAGGTTAGGTTGAAGGTTAGGAATGTAATAGGTGGTTTTTGAAGTAAAAATGGGGTACATCTGGTTTTTGTAATTGTCTGTGATAGGAATGATGAGAATTGCGTAGTATGAGTAACATTGCTCCTGTTGCCATGACATTTAAATGGTACGCGTGACATTTTTATGCTCGTTATCTAGGAAGAAATTAATGAAGATGGCGTAATTTGTTGGGTCTTCCTTGAGAAAAGTTTGTTCTTTGTCTTGAGGAAGGGGATTTCTAAATGTACTTGCTGCTGTATGAGATAATTGTTTTTAATATCAGTCTGTGTATCGGTGGATGCGAATGCTTATTTTCATTTTAAATTTAACGTATTGAGTAGGGAAGAAAATTGTTTTTTCATGGAAAGAAAATATAATGTATGAGATATAATGTTAGGTAATATTTTTATAAAAAAGTTAAAAGGTACTACATTGAATTTTAACACGCATGTGCCTATACGTTGACCCTTTACGTCACTGATGGTGTGAAAAGAGTACATGGTCACACTTTGAAAGCACGTAACGCCACTCTTTTTGTGCGCGACAAAGAATTTTTCTTTTTCAAAGTGTAATAAATGCTGGTCGTTCTATTCCCGTGCGAGTTAATGTACTGAGGGAGAAATTGATGAAAGACATAACAAAGTTACAATGTCAAATTAAAAGCAGAATAGCAATATAAGTAGTGGATTTTTAAAACAATGTTGAATTCACTTTCCAGTGAAATATTGAAAAAATGTACGATAAACTGCGATTTTATATTTTCCATGTCAATGATGAAAAGTTTAAGCATGGAAAATTAAATAATGTTACTAATTCTTTTCAGTTTTACATTTAATTTAAATATATATTCTTTGTTTCACTCATAATATATAACGATATATTAGCACTTCTTTGTTATACTGAGAAAGCATTTTTACTTTGCAACATAATGAAATAATAAAATAATAAATATTTGCAAAAACAAATCAAATTACATTCCTTTCAATTTCGGAAACAAGACAATTTAAACGAGATAAATCTCGCGCTGCATACACGAGTTCCATCTGACGACTATCGCTTCAATTACGATAATACCGACGGTACACATCCGATGTAATTTACCATATTCATGCACCCTCACTGTTTACGGTTCTCAAATATTATGAAACCCCTAACAAGAATTTAAACAAGGAAACTTATCACACAAGACATTCCGGTATACAAGATAGCACACCTTCGTTCATCCTCTAAATGTTTTGGAACACGTTCATCCTCAAAACCGGTTTTACGATTTACACTCTGAAATATCGGTAAAAGGAAATCATGCTTTTTCACCGAGTGTGTATTCATAAACATAACCGTATATCTTAATATCACCATAGACACCTCATCGGTACAAAGTTGTATATTGTAAATCCATGTACGTGAATTGAAAAAAATCAAACTTTTCCGGAAATCAATTTTTCTGAAATATTCTCAGTAGTTCGTGCTACGAGGAGGTCAGCTCGTGTCAATTCGTATGGTACGGTAGAAATTTTTTGAGGTCGAGGTGGTTATCGGGTGAGGGATGGAAAGGTATGCAATGGACGCGTAAGCGAACGTTAGTAGACATTGCTGGAACGGTGGAAAGAGAGAGAACGAGAAAAATACGTCGATAAAACTGAGGTGAACGCCGCACGGTGAACGTACGGTACGCGTACCCCCGTTTTGGAGGCAAGTAGTTAGTCCCTCTCTCTTTACGACGGTTCAGGGACGGCTCGAGACGACTATGTCTGAATGACTTCTTAAGCGAGTACGCTGGGTGCCTACTAATTATTTACTGCTGGGCATAACGGATCTTTTAAAAAATTTATTTCTTGGACATACTCCCTTTCGAGGATCGACGACCTGTAGCGTTCCATTGTTGTCAGATACATTCTCAACGTTGAACAAGGTTAGCAAATTAATAACCGATATGTTTATGTTTACTGGTATGCTAAGTATGCTGGGTAACTAAGATGAAGTTACAAAATGAAGATGATTAAAATTAAATTTGCCTGTAAAGAATTTGAATCAATTTTATAACGAAAGTATTTAATCTTTATAGTCAAGTAATATCTTTGAGCAATTAATTAACCTTTTACGTTTTATTAGTCTTTATACGTACAATGTTTACGACAATGAATTACGATCGCTGAAATCATGTATGGTAATCTCTTGGTCACTGGATGCTTGCCCTCGTGCACTTCACCTTGATATTTGATAGTTTCTTCTTAAGTTTCACCTTGAATCACGACGCGACGCGTTTTGGTATGTCGTACCTTTCCTTCGCTATCTCCGATTCGTAGAGTAAAAGCTAAAACTGTTGCCCAGCATTAACGCACCTATGTAAGATCGATGTCTAGGTGTGGCTTCGTGTTAAACATTCTTTGTGACGTTCCCGAGCGTTCCTCTTAATATTTCCATTCCAAATCAACAATTTGACATTCGATAATTATTCCCGCTTGTTTAAAAATATTCTTGTCAACATCGACTACAAAACATATCTGAACCAGATTGCAGAGAAAGAAACTGCATATTCGCGAATGATAACAAATGATAGTAATTTGCATGTTTATCTGGAAAGAATTTGTGACAACTATCTGACGACGTATTTATATTCACGAGCGATCTTTTTTATGGCTAAACTTGTTTCAAGCGTATTATTTTATGTAATGAAATTCCTATCGATCTTACCGAAATATTTTTCCATATTTTATATCATATCACCAATTCTAAAAATATAATTTGTATTATCCTATTCTCTTTCTTCTATTTTTTATCGTTCATTCTTCTGGAATATTGGCTAAATTCCGTAGCCCCCTTAATCTCGCGCGCCGATTGTTTATATTGTAAAGAGGGATCGGAAGGAGCGTAGATCGATTGCGCGCCACGGGCGCCATTCGCTAGTTACGGACCTGATGTGGTCTCACAGGCGAGGGCCTTTCAACTCGATCCGTATATCCACTACAGTCTCTCGTAAGGTGTGGTTCTCGGCGTTCTGGTCAGAACTATGCTCGTCCGGAATCAACAAGTGCTCCTCGAGACTACGCCGGGAAAACACTTGACCTAACCGAACTTAGTGAACACCTTTTTCTTCTTCGCGACCTCTTGTGTGCGAGAGAATTCGAAGGAGGCGCGCATAGGTGGCAGAAAGAGTCACGGAGACTGGCAGTGTACACAGATCGGCGTGAGTCGACGATCTCGAGAGCGAGTATCGTGACACCGGATCGATACGGTCGAACGGTTTAACCTTTCTGCGTTGAAATTCGACATCTCGTTCGCGAGAACGTGATCGTCGAGATTGTGATGCTTCGTGGTGATTGATGAGTCGATGAATCATTGGTTTTTCCGTGCTGAGATACGTTTATGATTCGCGTGTCTTCTCACCAGGATCAGCAAGGATTCTATGTGTACACCGGAGATCCGCTACACGTGACTTCACGGCTTGCCGACCGCGTGTTTATTACGTTGTGAATATAATTCGATAGACAGCACGGAATTGAAGTTGACGAGGGAAAATCACCAAGTATGAAGCACCGTGAGTACCGATCTCGAGCTGTTGCTTCATAATTAGGAATATCAAGTGAGAAACGTTAGACTGAAGCGTGTTACGCTTGTGTCAAAATCATCGGCTATGTAATTGTGCTAATTACTTAACATGTGTTTAGTTTGGTAACGCATTCTCTCCTGTTTTTTGATTGTGACTTATATACGGTGTTTACAACGACAGGTTGTTTCATCGACAATAGTGTTTATTCATGGAAACGTTTAGCATCGTCATCAAATTGCAAAAATTGCGACTCCTAGCATAAAAGTCGTACGATAGGTTAGGGTTGTCCGAGTGATGTTTGGGTCTGGAAACGAAATTTTTTACGAAATATATTCGAATAGAAAAGTGACCAGCTGAAAAATGCCTGTTGGTAAAATAAAACCGTTGTGAACGTAGTCGTGCTTCATTCTAAATTCTATGGAGGCTGCTTAAAAAACAAGTTTCCCAGTGCACCTGTCACCGGCCAGAACGTTTTTATGTTCGTGCACGTGGCACGACGGGGCGTTCTGGTAAAAAGAACGAAAACGCTGAATTACTACTCGAAATCGGTTTTATTTCGGCGCATAACATTCTCAGGGCAATTAAGAAATAAGCGTCACGGTAATATTTTAGAAAGTTTGCACCACGTTTGAAAGTCCAACGAACTTTCTTTCTTCGTCCCGCCGGTAACTGATTCGAAATTGATTATCGATAAGTAGTGCGTCGGATCGCATTAAAATGAATCGTACGAAGTTTCTCTCGATGACCCGTTTTAAAGAACGTTTAGAAGTTTGAACTTTGTTTTTAAGACGGTATTTCTCGGTTTACTAGAGGTATTTTAGAATATGCAACGAATACGAGGAAACTTTCCTGTTCGATCTACTTTGTACCAGGAAAATATTGATCGTCGATAACACGCAAGACGTAAATAATGTAAAGTAGTTCGTTGAATTTTTTCCCATTAGGAATACTTGCATTAACACTTGATTATAAGGAAACTAATTTAGTTAATTGGAAAAAGAAATGTGTTCGGCGAATGTTAAATGTTAAATTTGTTGCGAAACAGTAAATTGCAAAATAAGTTCGAAACGATGTTCGAACTAATGTTTTTATACGCGTTAGTAATAGCTGTTGGTGGTAGTTTTCGAGTTCCCTTGCGTAATAAATTAGTTCGCTATGTGACGTGTTAGCATAAGAATCTGGGAACAATGTACAGTGCGGAATTTCTAGGACATGAGTACGGACATAAATAAACGATGCACCAAACGTATAAAATCATAAGCTAACACGCTGTTTGACATATTAACGCAGGAATCTAGGTAGATACAATGTCCAGTGAGGAATTTCTAGGACAACAGGGTAACGTTACTATGGCGACTTACCCGCGAAACACGAAAAATACGATATAATCATAAAACATTCCTGCGGTCAAATTTTCGTCCTACATATTCAATTGTTATTAGTCACGATTCTTTTTATGACCATGTTTCTCACAATTTGTATGCTCTTCTTGGTTCACTGGCGATTAAATTCGGACGAAAGATAAACGATGCGCGGCGTAATTTTATTTGCACAAGTGACGCGTAATGCGTGGTGGCGCGGCTGACTCATACACTGTGTCCCATCATGTATAATTCATATGTAGATGCGCGATCGTATCCTTCAAACGATAGACGAACAGCGAGTATCTTCGAGTTTTATTTTTGGAGCTTCGATATAGGGCAATGTTCTCGCGTCACATGTCGAAAATTTCTATACTGTAGAGAATATTCAAAGGGACGGAATAGCTGTATCTTGCACTTTGCCCCTATACATCCAAGCGTGTAATAAATAATTTATAATGTCACGAGAGAAATACGAAATAAGACATTTACAAATTGAAACGTTTTCAAAACAGTTTCTGCATATCGTTACTTTAATATTTGAATATTTAAACATGAAAATTTTCTATCGTTTAAAAATACCTGAATCTAGGTATAAAAAAATTTTAATTTGAATATAGTAACATTTTATCAGCGTTTACAACAAACGTTGCACATTGTTACTTTAATATTTAAATTTAATCCAAATTTAAATGCGTTATAAGTTTCATTGCCTGGAAATGTTTTAATTTGAATGCAAAACATACAATTTTTAATACCAACATATTTTATTCTTAACCCTACGTTAGTCTGGGGGAATTTTTTCCCACCATTAATCTAGTATACAAGGTGATTCACGCAACTAGAACAAGTCATATCTCTTTTCTGATTGCAATTAGAGAAAAATGGTAGAGGAAAAAGATGAATGGTTGAAAGGGGGCTATATTTTCAGGATCATATTTTCTTCGCACAGTATATTCCGCAGTCGCTTTTAACATGTGCGTTTTACAGTTCCACCATTTTTTTTAATGGAGACATTCTTTTTTTACATAGATCGAATCATCGTCAATCTGCGTAAAAAACTGGTGGAAAAATGATTAGTTCGTGAGATACTTTAAATAAATATCTCGATATTTATCTCAAATTTAACAAAAACAACGATCAAAAATTCTAAAATTGAATTTCGTAAACAGAATGAAAATCGTCGTTCGATTTTTCAGACCTAACCTCACCTAACCTAAAACGAACCACGTCATATTTACCATCACTTGGACTCGAAGCAATCACTTTCAACCGCGGAGTCGAACGAAACGAATACAAAAAAAAAAAAAACAACAAAAATTGGTAGAAACGAGCGGCGAAGAAAAAGAGTGGGAGAAAACGAATCCGTGTCCCTTTTACTTCTGAAAGTGGCGTTTCACGTTAGAAATTTTCTCGTCGCGTGGTCACCGCGAGATTGAACGAAAGCGCAATTCCACGGATTAACTCGGTCACACAGTGCAACATTGTGCATTCGTCGCGGCGTCGTTCGCCACACGGTTTCTATTGCAACCGCGATTCATAGATCGGTGCGTGAGCAGCGCGCGTGCGCAATGGGTACAGGCTGCATAACGCGACGCGGGAAGCCTTGTGCCCGTTCCTTGGAACAATACCGTAATGATACATGATAATAGTCGACGAAGCGTGATTACCGTGCTTCTTAACTCTTCATCTGTCATTCAAACGATGGATTTTTAATGAATGGATTTTTATCCTCCGCTCTGTCCCTTCCAACAGCTGAAAAGAACAATGTCCCCCGTTTAAAGCTATTGTTGGTAGCGACGCGTGCACAGGGTGGTGCACTTTTTCTCTCCGTTTCGTACAAAGAGTCATTTTTCGACTTTCAGCGTTACCCGAAGCGTGGTCCGTGATAAATTGCCCGCGGTAATTGAATCGTTTACCACGAAGACTTCATTAATGTAATAGTTTAAGTTATAGGCGGCTGAGAAGATCGTAATCTACGAAAACAATGTAGCAGTAAAATAATTCATGATTTACGCTTCACTTTTCTTTCTTTCTACACGTTCGGCGTGCATAAACGGGAGACTCTCAGGTCGTTCATTCATATTTCCTACGATTAATATTAATTCGAGGGAAATATGCTACCTACAGCCTGTGCTCGATCTCGAATAAAAACTTTCCACGGTGAACTTGTACGAATTTATTCTCGTTTTAAAATTCGTATCAAAATTCTCCCCGCGGGTACAAACTTGCTCCCTTTTTTTTTTTTTCTCGATATTAATATTGAACAACAAAAATACGCCCGAGGGGAAAATACGCGGGAAAAGATATAGATCTCTGGTGTCAGAGACGTTAAGAGAAAAACAGGCAATTAAGCGTCAAGTACTTCACCGACGTCGACTTGAAAAGAGGGGGAAAAAGGAGGAAACTTCTATTGTTCCGTAGTGTCAAGGATCTGCAGATCGCGACACAATTTCGACTTAGGCGTGACGAGAGAGAAACATGCGAAATAACGTCTCTTTTTCTCGCGTCTAGCGTGTTCCGAGAGATAGATGATATTCTTCTCGTAGCGAAACCTTGGCGACAATACGAAGACCCGCATTTGCGGCTTTATAACATTTATCGCAAGCGCGGGACACGATGTCAAAGGAGACGCCGAGCGTGTAAGGGGGAAGATTTCGTTTCCGCGACGAGCGTTTTTCCGGGGTTGAATTGAAAAGCGGCACGGGGAATGAAAAGCACGAAAAGCGTGGTACCAACGAGCGATAGTTTAATATCGCTGGTTTGAAACTCGGTTTTCAGGATTGGACAGAAGTACCATTTACGAGATGTAAACTGTTGTCTTTCTACCTCGGATGTCTCGGTACCACGTTCGGTTAGGTAATGTTTGCATGCAGTTGCTTAGAGATTTCTCTTCGGTTTCACTCGATGGAGATTGGTTCGTCGAGATATTAGTGGTAACAAGCTGTTGCTCGCTTTCGAGATACGCTTTCAGTTAGCGTTAAAAGCAAGAGAGAGAGAGAAAAAAAAGGAACTTATCTCTCCTCTGTACGAGAATATTTTTCTCGTCGATAGTTCTCCTGTGGATTTTCGTTTGTGAGATTTATCGCGGAATATCGGGAATTCGTGGGAGTCGATACAGAGGTTTCTGAACTGATGGGATTCGATAGAGCGAATTCCTGAGATTTCGAAAATTTATTTAGAAGTCTCTAGGGCTCTTTGAGGTTCTGGGAAATATTAGAGTGTTCGGAGCTTTCAAGAATCCTAGGAGATTTCTAGAATTCGGTCATATTTGGAAATATCTGGGATATTCGAAGTCTCCGGAAGTCCTTCGGATCTCGGTGGTTCCTGCGATCATTGGGACCATTCGGGGTCCTCGAGATTTTGAGGGTTTCTGAAGATCCTAGGAATCTCTGAGTGGAGAAAACAAACTTCAGAATATCTAAGGATTTCGAGAGTCTAGGAATACTTCTAACATTTTGAGATCCTCAGAGATCTTCCCTTAAGTGCTCCTGAATCCATCAGGATTTCAAAAATTTTTGAATTTCTAATATTCTTTTATTTAACGAAGTAATCGCAATTTATTTCTACAGTTCTTTTCTAATATTCTGTTAAAGTAGAAGTTTTAAGTTTTACCTGCAAAAAGTGGATTAATTACCGTTTCGATCTCTTCGATCGCTACTTTAAACTTTGTAAACCTAATGGAATATCGAAGCAAATAAAAAATACAAGGAGCGTGTAACAACTAAACGAACAAAACCTTCTAATTAGCATCTTAAAAAGCTTAAACATTCCTTAAACACTTTAAATAGCATTTTTACGAAACAGCTACAAGAAATTCGATTGAAATTTATCTCGGACAGAAAAGCACGCGAGCATTTTTCCACCAGCCAATATCATTTACCTACAAATTCCGTCTTTTTAATAATGACCCTATGAGTCACGTTCCGCCGGTTTCTCCATTCTAACGAGTCCAATATTGCAGGGTTTGCACGTGCCGCGATTTGTTGCAATAGCGTAAATGGACCAGAACGAAAGTGGACACAATCGACCTTGTCTCGAATGTCTCGAACTACGAGTATAAAATAGCTTTCGTAATTGTCCTTAAAAAGCCAATTGTGTTCGTCTTGATTGCCGGCCATTTGCTCACATTCAGTAAAACGTCACAGTTTAAAACACCGTTTCCTCGGCACGAAGAAACGAGGAGTCACCGTTTAACAAAAATATTTCCTCGTATCAAGTTCGTAGTGAACAAACACGATAAAAACCCAGTCACACCTGATCTGACCTAGATACCATCGAACACGATCACACGTGCGCGAAATTTCATCCGAAGAATAATTCAAACGAGCCCCATCTCCATCGATCGAAACGCTACACTGTCGTGTAGACAGGCGAATATCTGTATACTCGTTCTGCAGAAACGTCTGAAACGCGATCGCCAGAGTACTGTTTCGTTATTTACGACGATCCAAAGGTGCGTGTCTCGAAGTGAATGACTTAGTATCTCCGTGAGTCGTGTGCAGCCTACGCATGAAAGACGCTGACTTTCACCTATTGAGTTCTGCCAGACGAGATTTCTTTATTAGCACACTCCTAAACGACACTGGAAGAAAAAAGAGACACCGAGATCGTTCATTATGCAACCGTTTTAATCAGGCTCGATCCCTCGATCGCGGAGAGACACACTTTAACAGGTTGCCCAACCTCGATTCGTCAAGGAACCGCGATGAATTTCAATCTCGACGAGAAAAAATTGTCAGGTGAAAATTACGAGCAGAATTTTTTTTCCAAAAAAAAAAGAAAAAAAACATTTCCAACCGTGAAACAGTCCGCGTCTTGTGGTTTACATTGTTTCTTTAAACTACGGGAGCGCAATAGAAACGCCGCCATTATGGTCTCGCTAAACGTGTAAAATTGCGAAATTCATCACGCTGCTTTTTCCACGAAAGTTCCCAACGCAGATTGATACAATTTAAAGTAGAAAATCTTTCTCTCTCTCCATCGTAAATTCACCTTTCAATTTTCCATCCTTTTTATCGCAAGATTATGAAAATATTCGCGTAAGAGGATTCCGGTTGGTCTTGTTTGTACGGATAACAAGGATCGAAATCCCGTTTTCAAAGGGAAATGTTAATTAAAACGTTGAAAGGTGCAAGTTCGAACTTTCGTATCTCTTCTTTATTCCTCTTTGTCCTGCCGCGTCTCCTTTGTTTCTTTGTGCGCGAGTATTCGCGGGTTACTTGTGTATATAAGAGGAGGAGGAGAGAGAGAGAGAGATACTAACAGCGGGAGATTTATCGACGCCTATAGCGGCGAAGGTTCTCAGTCAGTTGAGAAAAGGAGCAGCAGGAAACTGAGGCCGGTTTACCAACCGGTGACTAATGCCCGACATTTCTGTGTTAAACTGTTCAATGGGCGCGGGTGACGTACGCGGAAAACCAGCTGCATAAGTCATAGGTTCCTTCCATAAATCATGGTGGAAGAGGCACGAATTCTTGAACGCTGTGAAACTTGGCTCGGTCTCTGGCTTCGTGCATGTAGATCTTCTTGGAATTGGAACGATATCCTTGTACGCGGTATCTTCTTTGCAATTATTCCTCCGGTCTGGACTGCGTAAAAAGCAGATTGAATAATGCGTGTCCGTCTCGTATAAGGACAGATCGTCGGCGGGTTCCGTTCTTGTCGATGAACTAGTCTTGCCAGTTCATGCGGTCCGCTGTAGCGAGATCTGACTCCGAGGCTCCTCCGCTAGGACGGTATCGTTATTGAAAATTTCGTGGAATTGTTGAATTGAGAAAGATCGAGAAAATTGTCCATATTTTTCATATTTTTTTAGAGGAAACGTTTGTAACCTAACCTAAAAGTTTCTGACCTTGAATGATTTAATGATTACATTTCTTGTAATAGCTATAGATATTTTATGCGATTCGTTTAACTGGATTTATCTCAGTGCAATTTTGTATTTAATTCTTATGGAAAGTTGGATTTTTTATTCATTAACGTCTTCTTCATATTTACGCACTGAGTTTGGGATCCATTTTTCCTTGTAGCAGCTATTATCATATCACTTGAGGTTTAATTATCCCATTACTCAATTGATCCCTAATTTCAATTTTGCCAATTATCGTGCCATTAATCTAACCTAACCTCAAAATTAATTAAACAAGACTCCGCACTAGGTTCGTCATTGTATTATAAGATTTTTGTCTTTGCCTTCCTTGAGAATTTCCATTTTTATTTCATTGACAATATATTTTAGTATAATTTATATAATATAATTCAATTAACCCTACCTAACCTTAAATTAATTAAACGAGATTCGTATTTTGAGATTTTTGTCTTTGCCCTCCTTCAGAATTTCCATTTTTATTTCATTCACGATATATTTCAATTCAGTGCTTGCTCCCTTCCTCACAAAATGCGTTCGTAAATAAAGCATTATTATCGTTATTATTAAAAAAGAATACGAGACGATTAAATTTTCTACGAATTTCTTCGATCGTTTGTTGAGGAAATTTGTGTGATTTGTGTGTTGCAGAAATGAAAGGAGCGTTTCTAATCTTCTTCGTCGTTCTTTCGTCGGGAACGATGGGCCTGCCGAACGGGGCACCCCCAGGCTCATGCGAAGATCTGACTCCTCGTCATCCTGGAAGCGCGAACCAGGAAATTTACCCTCCTCCTTACCAAGTTTTACCAGCTGCAGGACAAGGTAGAGTCCGCTTAATTCTAGGAAGTCCTCACGGTCTTGCCTACGAGGGTTTCATGATAGTTGCACGTGACGCTGAGACCGGTGAATTCGTCGGGGAGTTCGCGAACTTGCCCGATTTGGCGAGGATCGTCGAGTGCACGCAAGGTCTAAAGGTAAAAGCTCGTTCATTTTACACAGGAATTGTACTTCTAATTATGAACATGTTAAAAAGACACTTCTTAGAATTTGAAATTAACTTAATCTGAAATTTCGATACTTTTCTTTTCTCTCTTCTATTTTTGCATTCCTCGCGATACACGGTGATTTCAAGTTTCTCAACCTGACAACGTGATGTGTTTTTTTTTTTTTTTTTGCAACGAGTCTTAATTGAAATTGAAAGCTAATGTGATCGGTAGGATGCTAATGCAATTATAATACATCGAAATATGCAAAGTAGACGAGATTAACGTTGGAATCTCTGGAGATACGTAAACAAGACTAATCACAGCACAGTACAGTAAGATTCTAACGTTACTCTAAATACCGTATTTTGCGTATTTTGATGTACAGTAGGACTCCATGTAACGCAATCGAAAAATTAATCTGAATTGTTTAAAATGATTTAAAATTGAAGTATAACGCGATCAAAAAGGAAAAGAACATGCAAATTCCGAATCTGAGTAAAGAAACTGCACTCGAAAATTGACGTCGATGGAACTCAATTTGAATTTCCCGCGTTCGGGGAACCTACTGTATTGCCTATATCGAAAGTAATCTCGTTTAAAGTATGAGAAACAAACGAATAAAGCTGACGTTGGAAAGGTGTTCTTCGGGGAATTAACGCGATTCCATTTAAACGATTAGAAAGTCCGATGATATGCACGAGCGAGCGATAAGATCTTTGCGATCGTAGTTAAAGCAGCTCTTCAAGGCTGCCGCGGTGATTCACACGTGTCGTGCGTTCTCGAAGGACGGAAACAACGTGGTACACCGCGATTAAATGTTTTTTTTTTCTTCTTCCTTTTGTTAAGAACGCGGTGACTCACACGAACACCAGCAAGAAGCACAATCTCGAGTTCGATTGGGAGGCACCTGTGGATTACGAGGGCACCATTGTGTTCAAGTGAGTATTCAACAGAGAAACGTTTTCTACTTTTTCTTCTTTTTTTTTTTTTTTTCATTACGATCTCCTTGATATTTTTAAAGGCGACACTTTTCACGTTTCGCGCTTTAAACAGAATTTATTCTTCCACGCGACGTTTAACTAAGACAAGTTTGTTTTCACTTTGAATTCAACGGTGTATATGTATATGTGTGTACAGTGTAAATACGCCATAACGATACGGTCGCTGGACGTGCAAAGGGAATAACTCGTAGGTATGCGGAAGCAAGGTGAATCGAGTCACGAAAATCAAGCATTGCTGTAGCTTTCACATTAAATTCCCTCATAATCCGTATCAGCCAGTCACGACCCGCTGCACTCAAAGGTCGCGGTACTTTCGATACTACTTTAGTGTTGCACAATTCTTCAGTTATGATTGTAATACCTGTCGCGTAATATTTATCAAAGTTTCCACGATCTTCACGAATTATCTTAGAGATTCAATATCACTTTCGGGGTATTTTTCTGTGGATTTTTAAAAGATCTTCGAATTTCATTTGGTAGGACAAATTTTCATTATCTACAGTCAGTAAGTAGAACATTCTTGGCACAATATGAGTCCATTAAAATTTATTAATCAATTTATTTGACACTTTAACCCAGGGGTTCCCAAAGTGCGGCCGGCAAACCCTAGAAATGGCAGATCTGCCGCGATCTTGAATTTACAGAGATAATTTACATTTTTACAAAAAAATAAATAAATTTTATCATATAATTAAAAATACTAAATTTTATATGTAATACATCTTGTTATTATGTAGATTGTATATATTTTGCCGTAATTGTCTCAGTGGCCCGCCAAATATATTGGAATTTACAATTTGGCCCACCTAGGCAAAACTTTGGGAACCCCTGCTTTAACCCTTTCGTCAACACATTATTCTTTTTAAGAATCTGTTACTTATCTACCAATCATCCTGTCTCTAATGGATCCTAAATTGAGATCAATTTTGAGTACTCGGGTGGAACATATACGTTCCCACTCGTCACGAAAGGGTTAACCTAACTAACTAACTTTCTTTCCAAATGATCAACATTCAAAACGTTCGCGGCAGCACACTTGGCAATCGATCTCTCCCTAAAAACTTTCCTCCGCTATAAAGCAATATTTCCAAATTGAACTAAAAATTTTCAATACCGCCTAAAACACACTTGCCCGAGCAACCAAATTTTCTACCTTCCCGACACACGCATCCAGCAGACGAGCGTGGAGGAATCGAGCTCGTCCGATTTTCTGGGTCTTGGGATCACGGTGTGGAAATGTAAATACACAGTGGCAGGCACGTAATATGCCGCGATCTGTCCGCATATGAATTACGATTAGAAACGAACGCGTGGCACGCGGCCATGGATTTCCATCCCCGTGCACGGAATACAATATAAACGCGCGTAACGGTGAACGGCGAAACAGCCGGGACATTCGTTATAAACTTTTCCGCTGGTAATCGGTGCCACCGGTTATACCTGAATGCTCAATTAATACGGTACAGAGAGAGAGAGAGGGATGCTCCGTGCTCCATTAAAACTTCTCGCAGAAATTTATACCGATAGCGATAAATAATCGTTCGCTCGAATTCCGCTGTCAACGCGTGTGACCAAACCCTCTCTATCTCTCTCTCTTCCAACCAACCCCATTTCACCCTTCGTTCATTCGTTGATTTCGATTTCGAGGCTTCCTTCGTTCCAGCCGGACGATTTTTCAACATTAGCGACCGCTCGTTATTCGTTCTCAACATTGTTATCTTTTGTTCCCACGCCTGCCGGTTGGTAATGGCTTGCATCACGTTGACCCGGAAGACCGTAATTTATACGCTTATCTGTCGAGACGCGGAATACGAATCGACGTTTTATTCCTTCTAATTCCTTTTTTTTTTCCTTCTAACCCTTCTCTTCCCTCGCGGAAACGTAAGGATTCGCTGGCTGAGGTACGTTTCGTGACCGATTATGATGCGCCGCGCCTGTCGGGGCAATTATGAGATAGTTGGTTGAAACGAGCAGAACGTTTTCACGAAGCTTCTAAGACGCTGTTAGGTGTACACTCTTGGCCATAAGTCATGGGACAATACTACCTTATCGTTTTACGATAAATCAAGTTTTGGTGGAAGATTTAGTTGCTTATTTCGATGTGGTACTGTTGTATTGACAACAATTGTGTTCGAGGAATATATGGCTGGAATTTTGTTATAATTAATTTAAAATAAAGATGAAATATTTGTATCGAAGATCAATACTAGAAATCGTGGAATGAACTAAATAGAGAGAAGTATTCGGAAACACTGTTCAACGTTACAAAAAGAGCTGTGGACACATTTGCAGCGATCCTGAAGAGAAATCCAGGAAGAAGCTTTGAAAAAAGATCGAAAATTTTGCATGTACACTACCGGCCAAATGTTTGGAATCACTGTGCATTGCAAGTTGCACAAAAATTTCCACAAAAAGTATAGTATTTATAATAATTTTTCAACGAATTTTTTATCATTCAGATCAATCGAAATGAGGTAAAGTGCTATTGATCTCCGCAACATCAATTTCAAATCAATAAAGAATTAGTAGCAGATTCAGTATTAATATAAATTGGCAGGTGATTTCAATATATTTTAACACTGAAAAATTATATTCGGTGCAACTAATCTGTAAATAATCGTTTGACGTTTAACCGTGTTAATTTAAACGTAAAACTCTAATTAGCAGGTGTCCCATGAAAAATGTCTATATTTCTTCGTGTGCATATGTGTAATTAGCAAGACTTTCGAGTTTCTCTCGATATTCCGTTGGTATTTGCATGGCTTGTGCTAATCTGCATTCCCGATTGGCTGTTTAAACTTTTAAATCGACGACTGTCAGGTGAAAGATGTCTTGTCTTCAATATGTCAATTATATGCGATTCATCAGCCACTTTCGTGTCCCACATTGTGTCCATTACACGAGTAACGAATAGTTGATCCTTCGTTTTTATGAACTTTTTAACGGTCTCCCGCGTTAATTATACCATTCGTATTCGATTATGCACAGGGTTGTAAATTGAGATTAATATTAAAGTTGATTAATTAAACTTTATCACAAACGCAATCAGCCTTTGTAGTATGTAATCGATATTAAAAGACCACCGATGAATGATGGAGGAATATCTTCAACAAAGGGCAATTGTAAAAAGTGTATCGCGTGGTAGAGGTTATTGTGCAGTGTGTAATAAATATTCCCGCATTCTGAATTTATTATCCTGAAATGGAAGGAGTGACGTTAAACGTCTAAAATTTTCAAAATAAAAAAAAGAACTGTCAGTATGTGAATCAAATATGAGCCGTTCAGTGCACAAATCGATTAACTCTACTTTTTGAAAAATCTTAAATTTAAGTGTCGAAGCACTTGGTACAGTCATAACTTTTTATATTTATAATAATTTATATAATTTTCATTTTATGGAGTTGATCGATTTGTGCACTGAACGGCTCATATACAGTTTATCTAATTTTCTATTAGAATTAGTTAAACAATCATCTACTACAATTTACCAAAATTAAAAATTAATCAACGATCCAAAATCACCAACATACTTGACACTTAAATTAATCCTTCCAGTTCCACACGAACGTGAATACTACAATTCCTACGAATCCACATTCAAGCGTTCCATAATGATACTTCTCACATCAAACACGATCCTCCCATAGTTCCTTACCTTGTAATTTTTTGCCATACACGTAAGCATCAGCTGTACACTGTCGTTACACCGAACCAGACAAGAAGCGTCATTTACATTTAACACTTGAATCCCACAAATGAAAACTAAAATTCGAATAAAAATCAATCTCTCCCTGTTCTTACCGTGACAATTTTTATCACACGAGCGATCGTAATCTACGCCACGAATCCGGCTGGCTGTTCTAAGGCAAAGGGTTAATCCCTGCTATTCGCTTCGCTTCTTCGATGAAACAGGATACCGTAATTATTATAACCAACGCGGTTACCGCATCGTCCTTTCCGATCAGTCATTTTCGCCTTGCCTGAAACGATCCCATTTCCCTTTCACCGTGTCCAAGAGATCGGTTCTCGATCCTGCTCTCCTCTCTCTGCCGATGTTCGTCGATCGTTCGCCCTCCGATTTTTTTTCTCACCTTCGTTCGATCCGTTGCAGATCCACGTTCGCGCAGGATTACAGTACGTTCTGGGTCGGCGTGGAATCGCCACGAGTTAACGTCCGCAAACGATCCATCGACGTATTGACCTCTTCTACACCGATTAGCACGCTGAGAACAACCACGCCGCCCTATTACAGCCCGACCGTCGATTACGAGGTAAGTATTCCACCATTACCACTCGACTGTTGATCACAAAGCAAACGTGCTTTTCACACCCGATAATCATAACAGCGGCTCTGGCGAAGTGAAATCGAGCCGCGACATTGAAACATTCGATGGTGGTCAAATTTGACGATTGCGATTTTGTGAGTTTGATTTTGGGCTGATGTGCGATTCTGGTTTTGTTTCTTCGTTGGGGAAGACGAGTTAACTCGTCGTTTGTTCGTCGATACTTAAGGTAGAGGAGAAGGTCTAAATGTGGGCTAGTTGATGTGTTGAGGTTTGACAATAAATCGTGAAATAAAAGTGGTAGCCTATATGTGGACCTTCTCCTCTATTATATGTAGTTTGTTTTTTCGAGGGAATATGTTCACATTTGCAAGAATTGAAATGAAGGAATTGGTTGTTTTTACTTATTTTTAATGGTGACTGGAGAGATTCGATTTGTTTCAATTTCCCAGTTAATGGGTGAATTCCTTGACTTGTCATTTCTTTGGCTGACTATACATTTAATAATAAGCGTTATTATTTGATATAATTTGTCCAACAGAAATTATATTCCGACGTTTCACCAGCATTGCAGCTAGCTTCATCAGTGTGTGGAGACGCAACTGATAATGGTGTGCGTCAGGGTGTTCACTCCTATAAGTACCCCATGTTCATTTAAATCAATTAAAAATCAATTCATTAACGGGAGGAGTTGGAGGAATTATGATTTCTTTGGCTGACTATACATCTCAGCATTTACTGCTATTTACTGTTTCAGTATTACTATAATTTTAACCCATTTTTAATTATGATCAGAGAGGTAGATTTCTGATTGAGAGGTGAATTCTTCGAATTATGATTTCTTCGGCTGACTATACATTCAAGCGTCAGATTTTTACTGTTTCAGTACTATGGGAAACAAGCTATGCATTTGGTAATCCTCAGTCTTATAATGTAAAATTAATTTTTTTTGTTAATATAACTGTTTTTGTCGCATCTTGACCAGAATCTGTGTCACTAATGTGATTAGCTAAGAATAGAAGAAATATAATGTTAACCATAAAAGTTTCATTGGAAGTGAATAACAGTCAAAAAAATACTCGGACTAGCATAAAACTTTGTTAGTAAAAAAACTTATTCCGAATTAAAACGGCCCCCTGTAGCAGCCTATACTCTTCGCAGCCACTTCTAAAATTGCCTTTCATTCGCAGCCTTTCAGATCAGCCTACGAATTTTCCTTTGTCCCCAGAATCGTTTGAAAAGTGCGTTCTTTTCACCAACTCTTCAGTTTCAAAGGTAGAAAATAAGTCACACAAAACCAAGTCGGGCGAATATGTTGAGCGAGAGAGTTTCAAAAAATCTCAACTCTCCTTCAGCGAGTTCCACGCTTTAAAAATCAGAGAAAATCGAATTACAAAAATCACCGTAGAATCATCAAAGAAATAATCTCCAATGATAACCAATCTTTCTCCTCACTCACACGCGTTTAAATCTAAACTTCAAACGAAGAATCTTCCGTCAGACGCGACAAAGAGCACTTTTACAAAAAGACAGAGGGTAGAAAGTGCAAAACGACGATTCTATTTGATTTTCTGCAAAAGAGAACGAATTCAGGAATTTCAGAGAAACTTTAGAAACTCCCAAAGGAATCCGCGCGATGAACAGATTTCACGATAATTAACCGTATCTTTTTTCACGGCGGATGTATGCATAGGTGCAAGAATTAAGCGTAATTAATCAAAGTGGCGGATTGATAAAGGGGTAAGGAGAGGGTTGGTGTATTTACGAGTCGAAAGTAAGTTCACGTTCCGACGAGTATTGCCACGCGATGCGTGCAGTTCTGTGCGTATTATGCATGCATACACGTGCAGCAGGCTAGTTAGCCGCGCGTACAAATGCATAATTTCCATTTGGGCGGGGGATAGCGGCTCTCGGTTTTATGCTTTATGTACTTTCGCCGTTCACTTTCGTGCATCGGTGTCGATTCTACCGCGGAATTTTTACCAACTACAATACCCTGCCCCATTGTTGATTTATTTTTACGAAATTTTATCGCCGGCACATCGATGATCGATAGATACGAAATTGGGCCAATGGCGAAACGCGGTGAAACGACGTGAAAAATATCGCCAACTGTGTTTTAAACGATTCGGACGAAACGCGTATTCTTTTCCTGTCTCTTCCCTTTTTCGTTAAAAGCACGCATGCATTGCTGTTCGTTAATTTCAGGACACCCGTTATATTCGTGTAGGAAATGTTATAACGTTCACTTTATGTCAGAATCGTGAATATATAAATTTTCATTTTTTCTGCAAAGACGGTGGTTGAATGTGACTAAATGTAGGGGCAATAAAAAATGATTCGAGAGTTAAATTTAAGTTTCGAGTGAAGATTGATATCTGCGAGAGAATTTGAAAAATGTTCACCTTTAGAGTTATCTGATTACATTTTACATTCAGTTGCGAATTTCCATAATTCATGGAGTCGTCCATTCGTGGTATTGGCGTAAGTAGGGCGATATGATTTAGAATACATTTCTTCGAAGAAGTTAGTATCGTATGTCAGTAAAAATATACGTACTTATTATACTAAGAAATTCTAGATTAAATCATTATTTTTTTAGGATCTTAATAATTTTCTGATGACACAGGTTTGCTTCTATTCAGCGAGTCTCTTCTTCATATTCACGAACGAGAGTGTACAGTCTATAGAAGAAATATAGCGAATGCACCATTATTGGTTTTTTAATTAGCACTGAACCAAATTTAAGGCATACTTCGTTTCACTTCAATTCTCAAGTTTCTGTCGATTCGTTTGTCCATATTTTCAAACGTGTAAATTTCGACGCTTTACCAATTTTACAATCTCGCTGTATTTCTTCCATCGACTATACCTCCGGATATCTTCATCTATCGAGCGACAGCGAAATTTTTGTCAGCCGCGCAAACGTGTTCCCGAACGAAAAGAAACGAAGAAACACGCTGGGTAAAACTAAAAAGAAGTCTACGTATCCCACGATCGTTAACGCAGACACGTGTACGTCTTATCTTTATTCAACGGGCAATTAAAGTAATTACGAGTCCAATTACGCGACGCGATATAGAAAAATTCTTCGACGACAGGATCAAACGGCCTCGCGGTGAACTTAATGAAAATGTAAAAAAAAGGAAAGAAAAGAAACGCGTGGAAATACACCACGAGCACCGGTAATGAATACCAGGCACCAGCAGCGGCAGTACCATCGCCAACAGGGAATCGTAATTATTCCGTTTCGCGAACTGCGTCTAAGTTGAAGGTCGGTCGTCATACTTCCTGTCCCCTGAGACTTCAGGCCTCACCCTTCTTCTTTTCCTTTGTGTCGTCCATGACCGCTTGTAATTAACCATCGAACGAACATAATCATTCTGATCAAATTACTTTTAAATGTCCTCGTATTAATTCCGCTGATCTGCTTCTGAGACATACGAGTGTATACTCGATGGAACCGATATGGTGAGTTCGTGAAATTGGTCAGGTGTCCAGGTCCACTTAATTAGAGTGCCTAAACGCAGAATTGTTAGAACTTTTTTTTTGTTTCATTGATCTTTATAATTGTACTGTTGTGCCTGTATTGAAGGTAACATACGTCATATTCACATTTGCAAGGTTACAATTCTTACTCATTTTTAATTATAAACTGGAGAGATGCAATTTCTGTTTCATAAAGCTTTGAATGAGCAAAGCATGATGTCTGATCAGAATAGAGGACGAATTTTTGGATTTTAGTGGGATATTTAGTATACCATAATTTCCTATGTTCCTAATTAACTGTTAAACTTTTTTTTTTTAATTATATAAATGTTTTGTGGCACCTATTGGCTTCTGAGCCAATTTATCGACAGAATGTATCTTCGCTATTAACTGTAACAGTTAAAATTAATTAGTATTAACTATTTTAACCAGTGGAGAAAAATTTTCAAGAAATCTTCGTTACTAATCAACTGTTAAACTCAGGTCAGAAGTTGTATATATACAAACGAGAGCTTTTAGCGACTACTAGCGAGAATTGGTCGTTAGCCCGTCCCTCTGGTGGCGGAACATACGAAGTACCGCCACCGTATCGCTTCCACCAGCTGTACATACACCGATGTTGCACAGAAACGTCAACTTTTGAAGGTCTTTACCTGAATGTTCCACGGAGAACACACTACCGAGCTTGATTGACGCGTGATAAATGAAAAGATACGGGTCGACGTGTTTTCTTTTTTGCGTATCGTCCTCGTTACCGGTCCACTTTCGAAACGAGATCGGCGTGAGAAAAGGCGGCGCACGAATGAATCCGCCGGTTTCTCACTCGGAAACTTTATTGAGGAGTTTTCAGAGTGGCAGACTGAAACTACTCCATTAACCCGCCGCGACTCTATATGCACGCGTATCGCGGAATAGGATTTCTTTCGGTGGGAAATATCTTGGTATTTTCGATGAAAATAAATCTTCAATCTCGAAACTTTCCCGCCGCCGAGCTGAGCTGATTTACGTCAGAACGATCAGCCGTCTGTTACTATTACTTCTGACGATTTTTCCAGATACGTTTAATCCTGCTTTTTAACGTCGTTTTCAAAGCTTTCTGGCGAATTTCAAATTCGGCTGATTTCTAGTAGTCTGAACTGAAGTAGAGGAGTAATTTGAATATGGAGGGTAGTCATTAGTTTATCGTTACAGTTTTAACGTTAAGTATGTCAATGGATAAGATAAATTTGCGACGTTGCATCCTTGACAGGAAATTTGCAATTTTTAAAAATTCCATCCAGTGAAAGAAAATTTGCAATTTTTACAAATTCCATCCTTGACAGAAAATTAGCAACTTTAAAAATTTCCATCCGGTGAGGGAAACTTTGTAACTTTAAAAAATGTTAAACTAAGGATTTAAGTATTGAAGATGATCGGTCCAAGATTTGTGTGCAAAAGTAACGAGATAAATTATCAGTAGGGTGGAGAATAATCCTCCAAAATGACGGCGATAATACCGCAAATTAAAGAAGAAAAAGAAGAGATATTATAATCAAAATTAATAACTTCCTTCCAGCGTTAACATGTTTTGCTCAGGCATGCTATAGCGTTCCATCCTCCTCGAGTTATTAAACGAAATTGCAACAACAGGTTACACGAGGTATCCGTGTTTATCGACGCGACGAATTTCAATTCGCACACGGAAGAAGAAGAACTCTCTTTTAGCGAAATTGGGCGAAGTTAGTTGAGAGTTCTCGAAACTTAATACGAATGCTAGTTGATGAGTAATTTCCTGGGAACTTGGTCGACGCGGTGTTGTATTTAAACGTGCTTGTTTCACAGACGAAGGACGTAGAGGATCCCTTCTATTCAGGATGCGGCTCGATGAAGAACTGTTTCGGCACACCTTCGGGATGCATGGAGACGAAAAATTGTATGGCAGCTGTGACTGTACTCGTTCGTGGCGAACGATATCTGTTCGAATTGCAAGCACGTGACAGTAAATACGTAGCTGTCGGTTTATCTGATGACAGTAAAATGGTAATTATGCCGATTTAAAGATAATTCAGTTTAATAATTTCGTTTTGCATATTTATGCGCGGGGAGAGGTTCGCCGATTGAATCAAATTACCATTTGTTATTTCAGCGATTATGTAAGTTTAATTATGGTAAATGTTGTGTAGCAATGATCATGTTAATTGTAAGTGTAGGCTCGGAGAATGGTTTCGGGTTGGTTCGCGTAGGAGCAACCGTAATCTCGATAATTTCAAGACGAACGATTATTTAATTCTTTGTCTGTTCTGTGCAGGGTGACGATAGTGTGGTAGAGTGTGTGAACGGCGGAGAAGAAATTACGTTACACATGTCTTGGAACTCTGGAAAGCATAATACACGCCAGCCGATGGTTCGTATATACCATTGTTTGCTATGTTAAAATATCCTCCACGGTCGGAATACGGAATTTTAGGAGTAACCAGTCGTTGAAGTAATGAGTTTCATTGGATTATTGTTCGTTAACAAATGGCGAATCAATGAACTTGGTACAGTGCTTGCTGGCTGTTCGTTTTTGTGGGTTTCGAATGCAGACAGCATCGAGACTGTTGAAAATTTTTTAATTTTCAAGCCTTCAAGTTTTCAAATCTTCTAATCTTCAAATTTCCAAAGCTTCGAATCTTCGAATTTTCAAACTTACAAACTTGCAAATTTTCAAACTTTATATTTCCAAATTTTCTAGTCTTCAAGTCTTCTAATCTTCAAATTTCTAAAGCTTCAAATCCTCCAATTTTCAAATTTTCAAACTCTTATATTTCCAATTTTCAAGTTTTCAAATCTTCCAATCTTCGAATTTCCAAAGCTTCGAATCTTCCAATTTCCAAATTTTCAGAGCATCAAACTTCCCAAGTGTTTAAGTTTGAAGACCAACTTTGTCCCAGTTTTATCGAACACTTGACGCTGAATAAGACAGCGCCAAAAGAGTCCGCGTTAAAAAGAAAGAAGATACGTCTGTCCGCGGCTAACGTATCGAGGTCAACGTTACGTGAGCACATGAGTCGCGGGCAGGTGAAATTAATACGATCTTAATTCAATGAACTCTTGCGGCGATGGTCGACTTTCGCTTGTGTGTAACATTGTTACCGATCAATCCTTCATGGGAACGATTGTGTTGATTTGCGGTTAGCGAGAAGCTTAAGCGACCTTGCTCCATTTCGGATTTCCCTTACAGCAAGAAGGAGCCGTCCAATTGGAATCGAGTTCCATCAAGGATGACGTGATCACCTGTAAATTTTGGAGAGAGAAAACCACAGTTGTCCAAGGCCGTGAATACGATCTCGTCAATACACCTTATAATCTTCTCGTCGCCGCTGGTAAAAGCTTGAAAAGTGCGTAATTATTCAATCTTATTCGAACCTAACTACCCTCAAACAAATCTGTATCATTCGTGACCTAAACTACCTCCAAAAAGTTTGGAAGCTTCTCATATTTTTCCCATTTTTTAATTTTTAATTTATTTCTGCATATAAATTTTATTCTCTGCATTATCGTTCCAAAATTTAACACTGACAAAGCTTAAAAAACTCAAGAGATTACAAAATTGGGCTCATAAATATTTCTCCTCTTCCTCCCATTCTTTCAAATAAAAATTACAAAACAAATGAAATCCTTCAAATCTTCTCTAAAAACAACTCAAACCAAATTTCCCACAGAAATAAAGAACACTCTAAACCCACTTACGAGCATTTAGCGTAACATAATCGCTTCCTCGATCGCACAGCTTCCAAACTTTCATCAACCTAACAATCCTCTTTCGCTCTCCCCGCGCGATTTTTCTCGACCGTCCGAATTCCGGCAACCTGTTACATAAGAGAAACGAATCGGAAAACGGAGAAATGTTTGAAGAACACCAGCGGTGTCGAAACGTTTAGGTAACGGCGTCGGATTCCACGACACGGCTTACGACGCGACCGGTGGCGCAAAGTTATTATCCGACGTCGGTGGTTACACAACGGCGAGCAATGTCCTGATTCGTGTGCACGGTGCACTGATGCTGGCGTCTTGGATCGGTACCGCTTCCATTGGCATCCTTTTGGCCAGATACTACCGGCAGACATGGGTCGGTTCGCAGTTGTGCGGAAAGGATCATTGGTTCGCTGTAAGTATCCAATTTTTCTCGTAATCGTTCGACAGAGGAAGAAGAAGAAGAAGAAGCACGTGAAGGCCAAAAAAGATCTCTCCTCGTCTCTGTTTGAACTAACGAGAGAGAGAGAGAAAGAGGGGTCAAGGGTCATGTGTGTGATGGCACCTATTTGGCGGGTCGATGTTCGGCTGTCGTTGGGTCCATGAGTTCCGGATCGAGGTTAATCGGAGGAACCACGAATAGAAGGGCAATTTGATAATGTCACAGCGTGCTCTTTCCGGAAATTAACAGTCGACGCACGGACGCGTGATCGCAATTTAAATCGGGGTGCGTTAATCATTTTGCGTAATCAGATTTTAATTGGGAGAGCCATCGGGTGAAATTGTAGTGTTTACTTTATGGCCCCCTACTCGTAATAAATATGTTCGTAACGTTTCATTCGTAATGAAATGACAACCATTAAATTGCCCACAGTGATGCCCCTGGTTAAACGTATCGATTTTACTCGATAATCGAGCTACTTTTTTTCTTTTTACTATACATATATATATAGCGAGTATTTGTTGGTTTAATCCTTTGGTACCGGGGTCGCGCTGTGCTACTGTTTTAAAACAGCGCGTTTGCACTTGACGCTGTTGAAAACTCGAGGGTCTAAACGGTCCTGAAGAACACTTAAACTTGGCTGATGTCCAAGGATAATATTGAACTTATCTTCGATGGTTGAAGGATACTTGTTAATTTTTCGGAATTATTTAACACCCTTCTCGGGGATAACGTTATCGCTTGCGCTGCTCACTTTCTCTGAGTATTAATCTTAGGAAGATCGAGGGAGAGCCAAAATGCAGGCAAACTTTTAAACCTTAATTTTCTAATAATCTGAATTAGGAAAATTCTGGAGATTAAAATTTAATTATAAAATAATTTTTAATCGTCCTCTCCTATTTTATTTTTTACACGAGAAAATAATAATTCGGTGCTTGAAGGATTAAATCGAATTTAAATTAAACCTTCCAACAGCTTGCTAGGGTCAAGCACCGCCTAATCACGAGATTATAATGTTAAGAGCCAGCGAAATGAAAATTACCGACTAAAATGTCTCCTTCGTTATTTTCATTCAAGTGGCACAGATTCTTCATGATACTAACGTGGTCGATGACGATAGCGGCGTTCGTGATAATATTCGTCGAGCTCGGAGAATGGAGCTCTGAAGTGATCCACGCGTCTCTCGGATTAGCAACAACGATTTTAGCCTTTATCCAACCGTTTATGGCAGCTGCGAGACCTCATCCAGGAGCACCCAGAAGACCTCTTTTCAATTGGGCGCACTGGTTCGTTGGGAATGCGGCGCAGATTTGCGGCAGTAAGTTTTCGCCTGGCTTAAATGTTTCATATTTTTTCTTTCCTCTTTTTCCTCTTTTTGTAATTCATTTTAACAGACAACGGGTTAAACGGTGCATTGAAATTCCTTTCACAGTAATCGCAATTTTCTTCGCGGTCCGGCTGAATAAGGCCAAACTCCCGGAATGGGTCGACTGGATTCTGGTCGCCTACGTGGTATTCCACATTCTGACTCACCTCATACTCACGGTAAGAACCATATTTCATATCTGCAAAGCGAAATTGTTGTACACCTTTGTTCACCTTCTACATCAGCCTGGCAGATGTATTTTGTCTATAGAGGAGATGTCCCACTTTAATCTATAAATGGATATCTCGAAAGGTACGTTGAATCCAGGAAAATCGTACAAACAGGGATTGAAGAAGGTCAACGGAATGTTAAATAGAGAGACTGGTTAAATGTGTCAAGATCGTCGCAAGGTTAACGTCATTTTTCTAATGGACCCTTGTTACTTGCCGCTCTAATTAACCTTGTCAGAATTTTCAATATTAAACATTACTTCCTCGATGCTCTCTTCTGCTGTATCATTCGTCGATGGTAAAAAAAAAGAATTTCACCTTGTACCTGTTCATTTTTATCTCAGATCGTCGAGTAATCCTGTTTCCGTATTCGCGTATGTTGCAACTGGTTGGTTTAAATATTCGAGTGGTACACCTAACGGGACCGAACTGCTTCGAATTTATATCCTGCGAATTATTAATATTTTAGGATCAGCCTCCAGTTTCCCTTTGATACCGTATGCAATCAGTGGTTACATATTACGCCTAATGTGGCTCACCTTTCATTACACAAGCCGGGGACAGTGGAAATGTCCCTAATTACGTGGACGTGAAATTAGGGGACGCTGGAAATACCAAAACTGAATCCTAGTTCAATCTGATCTCTTCCATTTGTATAGAGAGCATTATTGTGTAACGAAGAAAATCAATATGTGTTATAGTTCGTTGGATGTGCCTCTGATAGACAGGCAAGCCAGAGAGTGAATTCGTTCCCGATGAAAGACATGCATTCTCGTGGTTCAATGGTCCATCCGGATGCAAGACAGGACGCCCCTGTAAGTTTCATGCTAATAAGAATCGGCGAAGATGCGCCAGGCGTATCTGAGAATCTTCAACCTCTCATTTCACATTTTCTGTTCGATAGCACGCCGGGATCAGGAAATTCATCTTCGGGATATACTTCGTCGCGATCGTCCTGTTCACCGCTGCCCTCATCGTAATCACCGTATTGGCGCCTATAGAGGACACATGGGTCACCATCACGAACACAATTAAGAATTATTAAGTTGCTGCTGCCTTCAACGGCAAGCTATGGGTGGTATTTTGCATCGTTTGATCACGCGACGACCAAGCGAGCGTTGTTGTGTCAGGAATATCGTTGCGATAAGTTTCGAACTGCTTCGTGCACAGTATATTCTCGAGTGACTGTTTGTATGTAAATGAGTCCTGAATCGAGACAAGTCATCATCATTCACGGGGACCACATATGACAATGAGTGTGAGTTTGATATTATATGTATTGGTTTGATTGCATCGAACGACGTTGAAAAATAGTTTGGAGTTTTGTAACAGTAGGAACAGATGAAAATTCGTTGTATTCTCGTGTAACGAGAACGACAATGCGTAGAACGTGTATATTTGATTCGTATAATTTCTTTCATCGACCCTAGACCGCATACTCTGTTACAGTATCTTTCCTTCCATCCACTTGCTAGACTGACTTTTAACGACTGGCTTCAATTCAGTACCTATTCGCACAAATTCTTCGTACAAAAGGTCCGTCCAGGAATATGACTTAAACGCAGTATACATACAGAAATATCGTATTTTATTTTTTGTTACAAATAGAAGAAAAACATGGCATTAGTTTGTTTACACTCGCGCGACGTTCGCACAGCGTACTTTGTTGTTGTTAGAAGGCTCTACACGTGTTTTGTCTGTAAGGTGCTTTTATATTTAAGTTCCCGGTAAGATATACGCAGATTATCTATATTTATGATGTAACGTTTACAGTATTAGCTTTTATAATGTATTTCCGATTTTTACACCTGTTTAGATTTATATTGTACCACGATAAGTGTTGTTCTATTATACGAATGCAAGCTGAAGAAGTTTGTGGAAGTATTAAGGAGTTGCGCTTAATTAACCGGTATAACGACAGTGTTTTTCATATGTTATTGATTGTTGATAAATAAAAAAAGATACGCATGATCGCGTATTGTACGAAAGGTAATAAAATCATTCTGCGAAAATATCGGGATGCATACAAATAGCAATATTACATTGATGTACGCGAATGTACATAAAAATATTGACAGTGTTTCTGACAATAAGTGATTTTTTTCTTCTAAACCCCATAGCATCGATATAATTTTATTCCGCTCTGCATTCGCTGCAGATTTTCGTTGCTACGAGTTTTCTATAGCCAAAGGTTATCCGTTTATCGTTTAAGGTCCTATAGAGAGTGAGGCGGTGGTTGAACTCGATTAACTGCAAGAGGCCGTTAATCGGTTTAAACGGAATCTGAATTAACTTAAACAAGTGAAAGTCGTGAGCAAAGTACGCTACCAGTATTTATTTCTTTTGCAATTGAAAGCCCGTGTTTAACCCCCTTCCTATTTCTGTCATTCCCTTTTAAATTGAAAATTTCATTCGAAAAGGGATCCTCGTGGATTTTAGCATCCTTTGTGCCCGAACTATCGTTGAACTTGATTGTTAATTACATATTTGAATTCGCTCGTTAATACGCTTCATTGTTACGCGTATTATGATACACCTGAATAGTAGACCTGTACAATTAATTTATGTACCAACATGTGCATCAAATTTATTCATCCGGTGCTCAACGAACTTTATATGCAATCTCTTCTTCGTACGTAAAATTGCGAATTATTTTTCATTAATTAAATTTCTACATGAAAGATCAACATTTAATCGCAACGTTGTTTGGTGGTAACAGCCGGTGCGTATTAACGGTGTGTATTCTCTACGAAATACATTTGCATAACGTAACAGTAATATTCCTGTACGTAAACTTTCACGGTGTGCATAAAATTATGCAGCGCGTAAAACCGATTTTTTTCCATCTCCCATGAGTCAGTACGGTCCTGAGCTGCGATCGGAAAACGACGTTTGGGGTGGAATGTTTTCAAGGGGTTAGTAACGTGGTTGAAAAAAAAAATGGCGGCCGATCGAAGGCGGTGGCGTTATGACGCATGCCGCACGGCGATGCTCAGCGTCCCTCGGCGGCGCCACCGTCGACCAACCCTCGCAGTTCGATTGGAGACACCGGCCGGCGTCGACGGCTGTTGCGGAGCTCCTTCCTTCTTCGTGTTCGCGTGTGTGCTACAGTCATTCCAGCTATCGCATCTTTCTTTCTTTTGTCTTGAACAACAACGTGAGATTATTCTCGGCAGGTACGATGATCAAATTAACGTTTCTGATCGTTACTTTTTCCACGATTCACTTTCTATCGTACTCGTCTACCTTCCTTTTCTATCGCGGCGAAACGTTTCTTTCGCGAACGTACTTAACAGATCGTCACATATAGATTAAAGAGATGTTGTAATTGCAATTATTTCGCGTGGTGTATATACGCGTTTCTACGTGTTTCATACTCTCTGTATTTCGTATATGCGTATACGTGACACAGTCGACATTGTATTTGCGTAGTTTCGATTCGTGTGACATAAGTACGGTTTCAAAGCAGTTCGATTGTGGTCGTTGAACTTTACGAAGATTAAGGAAGGCAGAGAGTTTAGTGTCGGTTCGCGGTAGTCGATAGTTGACATTCCAGCTTAAGACACTCGGTCGTGTTAAGGAGAACCGTGCTCGGTTAGAATACTTGTTTGGACTTGTTTTTCAATGACCCGCCGTTGACCGCTGTTTGGATTTCGTATTATTCCACGCGTTCGGTTTCAACAATTTCTTAGAAAAACACACACGTGCAGACTAGTAAACAGTATCGGTTTAAGTAAACAGTAGGTAATTGGATACACAACCTCTTGGCCGGCTATATTTTGCGTGTACGTTTTTCTACCGTTTTCATATCTGTATTTGTAATGGTTAGGCACTTACACTTCAATTACACTTAACAAAAACACTTACAATTCAAAGGTAGACAAAAAAGCTACGTGTACACGTAAAGACCGGCTTATTTCTATTTAATACGTTTCTTTCTCTTCGACGTTTCCTCTGTTTTTTTCGGTAGAAATGTATCCCCCTTTGTACCGACTTGTAAAATATGCATACCGGTATCGATATGCATACGGCGTCGAGTGAATTTGCATCGGATATCGTCGGGAAAATAGAGACCGATCATTTGCCGGCGGGTAACAAGCACGGTAAATATCGGCAAGGGATCTCGTTATACGCACAATTGAATGTTAAACTACAGAGTCGACGTGAAAAGGGCTCTCGCGAGAAAGGACTGGGAGAACGAAAGGACGAGTGGGTTGAAAGAAACGCGACCGTGGGCGCGTATAGACGAGTTCGAGTGGGGCTGGCCCGGCGCGCTCCTGTGTATACACACGCTGAAAGTGGAAGGCAGACAATTGTCCACTTTTTGCGCCCGTGTCGCGTTGTCGTTCGCGATATACTCGATACGCTGCTACGTCTCCTTGACACGGCCTTGTGTACGTTCCTTCAGAGAATTTCGGTCGCATGCTCGTGTTTCGAAAACACTTGACCGAGTGCCTTCGCATTGTCCACGAGGAAAAAGAAAGAAAGAAAAAGAAATAAAAGTGTTCATCGGGACCTGGTGTTTTCATAGTGCTACTTAGGCGTTTCTTCATTTTGTAGAAAATCGGTCGATAAAATCAACCGGGTAGAAGTGTCGCTGATCGTTTCTGACGCGAATTAAGTGCGCGACGGTGACCCCCGCGATAATCGATAGTCGATCGAGAAGTTCGTTCGTTCTACGAGAAATGCGAAAGTGAACTCTGTCGGGGCCAGCGCGTGCATGTATGTACATCGCGGGACGATGGCTGAACTTCGTGTTTGCCGGTTTTTCGTGATCTTTGGTCATCTGGCGGTTGTGTTGGTGCTCGCCCAGAATCCCGTCGAGGAGAAGACCACCTTCGAGGCTGCATTTCAAGGTAAGTGTTTTTATCGATTGCATTTATCGACGTGCGTTGTCAGTGCCGACATCTGGAGGGATGCATCGATCAATTCGTAGAGAAAGTGCATCCGTCTGTTTAGTCTCTTTGTTTGCCCCTCTATTGCCGTCCGAAGCGTCTGACAAATATTCGAAGTTTAGGTTATGTTTATCGAATAGGAATAAAGTAAGGACGCGAAGCGTTAATTGGAATGGAGAAGAAAAATAAGTAAAAGTTGTGTTTATCGTGGACAGGCTAGTAATGTACAGTGAATATTTGCACAGTTAATTGTCACGACAAACATTCCGGGCATGTTAATTGCATTTGTATTACGCTTGACGGTAGGTATAGGAGGAAAAGAAATAGAAACGACGAGTAGTGTTAATTGAAATGGAAAATAGAAATTAGTGAAATGTTGCATTTATGGAGACGTGTAACGCGCATGTTAGTTACGCACAGTGGAAAACGTCCGTGTTGTTAATTGTTACGGCAAATATTCCGATGCATTAAACGGCGCATTTGTATTACACTCGAAAATTTATTTCGATTTCATCGAGTGTTTTCATCGGCGCTGCGATGAAGATTTCAACGTTCCACTGAAAATTTATCCTGCGCCACCGCCATTACCGATCCATTTGTCAACTCATGGAATACTACCATTCGGTAACATTTTTATAACGAATATATCGTCCCGTGTATAGAGCATCGAGTCGGAACTTAATTAACGTTCGCATATTTGCGAACGGGGTTTTGTCGGCCGGCAAATGAATCCGTATTGACAAAGTCGATTCGAATGAATTAACAAATTTTCGAAACTATTTCGAATACGTAAAATGCCCTTCCTCCCATCTTTCCACGGGCACCAATGGTAAACAATTACCCGGGAAAAATGTTTGCGCGACGTGCAGAACATATTCATACCGATTGTTTCGTCCATGATGCTGCGTCGTTCTTACCGCCGATTGTCTATCGACGCGATATCAATCGAGTGATCGATATCTCGCAATATTCATTAATACGCATTTGTCATGAAACGAAAAATATGAGTCGTTCGAACTGTAGAACGACCCCACTCGTGTCGTCGATTTTTCATTCAACTTCAATCGTTTCATCAATCCCCGGCAATCTATAGTGTGTTCGAAAAATACAATTTCAGCTAGATAGTATTCAGTATGTTGAGTAAAAAAGAGAAGAATGATTAATGGACATAATCCAACCAACACAATTCACTCTGTTACCTTTAAAATCAGTTTTCACGTGAAAAACAAAATGGCTGATTCGCAAAAATTTCAAATAGATCGATTGCGTCACTTTTCGATATAACACTCGCGAATATTCTCGACATGTGTACCACTACGAAAGAAAAAAAAAAACGCAAACAGGCAGAAAATCGATTTTTCGTCTATTCTCAAAGGTGAAAGTCCTCTTTAGGAAGTTAGACGCGAATAGGAAGGGATATAAAGGCTTAAAACGCAAGGCGAGAGTCGACGGGTGAACAAGATTAGTGGCTCGAGTGTGCCTCGAGTTCCGTTTAACTTTCAGTTACGTTACGGCCTGCCTCCGTATATCCTCTGTCGTCGTCTTTACGACAAACAATGCCCGTCGTATGTTCGTTTCTCCCCCCTCTACTCCCCGCGATTTTAAACGCGCGTGCACGCGAATCTGTAGCCTATAGCTACCGTAACACGGCACGTTGCGTTAATGTTAATGGCAAACGGTCGAGCAGGGCCGCCACTCCCTTTGCGCGGCATCTCCGAGGGCCCATTTGCTAATAGCCAGAAAGCAATTAATATCACGGTCAGTTACTGCCCTTTAGACATCACGGATGCGTACTGAACTGGTTAGCAGACCGGGTTCTCCGGCCTAGAAACATTTCCCCTGTAACAATCACGCCCCTGCACACAGACAGAGAATTCCACCAAATAATCGGGTCACCTGTGTCGCCGCGGATATAATTCTGGCGAATTTCAGATTTGTTTGCTCCTTCGTGCCGACTATCGACGAAATTCGTGTTTTACGGACGTCTGTCGAGTTTTCTAGTTAATTGCTGTAATTTTAGTTGGAGTTCATTATAACTCGTCTCAAATTAAATACCTTCGTGTCGCAGTTCGAATACTTCGCTGAAGTATGCGCTACAGCTTTTACACTTCCGACATTACACCGGTCGCGTGTTGAACTATTTGAAACTTGCGTTAAAAAATTCTCAGACCTTTAATGGACCAGCGGTGGGCAATTTCTCTTCCATAAGTTCGGAGATGTGAAAGGGTTAATCGAAGTACGGTGCTCGGGTCACTTTTGACCCATCGTTTTTTTATTTTTTTTTTAATTACCTCTGCTGTTGTCGAATTTATGTCCTCTTAACATTGTATCGAAAGTTTATCGTCTGGGTTCATAAGAATTGTTTTATGTAAGGTTTCTCAGTCTTTTTTGACCCCGGGTGCGTAGCCTCTTTGGGTCTCTTTTGACCCAAGAACGCACTAGGGTTGAATGTTTGTAAGTGTACAGAGATAGACGGTCGAAAATTTCAAATATAAGACAAATTATCCTTCTTTCGAATCTCCTTTGTCGTTCGTTTAACGGTTCGCTGGTTCATTTCTCGCCGGAGCTACAATTCGCTCCGGACACAATTATTCGAAGAATTTCGAGAGCGACCAATTGGTTCGGCAATGAACTCACGGGGAAAAATAGTTTCCCCGGCACTGTGCCGTGTGCCGTGCCATTGTCTCGAATAAGCCAGTTACATTAAACGCATTCACGGGGCGAAAAGGGGCGTTCATTTCGGAGGGTGAAAAAAGCGAACAAAGGCTTATCGACGGAATAGCGCTTTAACGTTAACCGTTCGAGAAAGCAACGTCGCCGCGTGCTCGATGGTTCGAATAGTACACACACACACACATATATATACCGTGTTACGTATGAACGAGGAAACGAAACAAACAAAGAAACGGGGGTGGAATTGCGTTAATTCCCCGTGTATATTCCAGGGGCGTATAATTCTTGGCTAGATGAAACAATGTATAGGCCGAATCGAAAGAAGATGGATTGAACATCGATCGAAATGATTTAGTACAGTTGCAAGCAGAAAGATGAATTATGTAGTTTCTAGTAGGAAAAGCGAGACGTGCCTTCCTCGAAAACGAAAGAATTTCACTGGTCCCGCCTTCTTGTTTGCTCAGGTTCCTCCTCCTTGCTCCTTCTTTTGCTTACTTGCTTGCTTTTCTCGTTTTCCTTCTCGCGGCGAGCACAGAGCAAAGAGACAACGTCGTCCACCTCGCCTTTTCCACTCGATTCTTTACCCTTGCTTATTTTCTACTACCCCCCCAGCTGGTCGGTCGAGGTAAGAGTGGGCGGGCTGCTCGTCGAACATGATACCACCGAGAAGCAATCATCGGCTCGCAAATGCACTTGAGAGGAGTTCCATCGGCGATGCCGATAAAATCTCTTATGAGACCGGATCGAAGGCGCGCGATAAAAATGCAGTGGCGCCGTCGAGTCGTGTTACAGAGAATTTTATACTCTGTGCCGTTCCATTTCGGTGCGTGAAACTTGGGCATGGATTTTGATGTTATAATCAGTGTGATGTGCGTTGCATGGTTATTAATGTGTTTAGGAAGGTAGTGGAATTTAGGATAGGTTCGGTAGGGATGGAGTTTGTTAAGATCTGACGGTTCGATTTTATGGGAGTGTTTATTGTGGTTAAGGTTTCATTTTTTAGTGTGTAATTAGTGTCACTCGGTGATCGAGGAATTTGGGTACCTGAGTATTCGAAATGCCCGAATATCCGAGTGTCTGAGTTCCTGAATGCCTAAGAATTTGAGATGCTAGGCATTCGGGTATTTAAGGATTCGGAAATTTAGGCATTCGAGTGCCTAAGTAATCGAAATGCCTGAATATCCGAGTGTCTTGGTTCCCGAATGCCTAAGAATTTGAGATCATACGCGCACGAGTATTTAAGTATTCGGAAATTTTCGGCATTCGAGTGTCTAAGTATTCGAAATATCTAAGTTCCCAAATGGCTGGGAATCTGGGATCCTAGGCACCCGAGTATTTAAGTATTCGAAATGCCTAAATATCCGAATATTTAAGAATCTGAGATCTTAAGCGCTCGAGTATTTAAGTATTGGAAAATTTAGGCATTCGAGTGCCTAAATATTCGAAATGCCTGACTATCCGAGTATCTATGTTCCCGAATACCTAGGAATCTGCGATCCTAGGCACCTTTGCATTTAAACATTCCAAAATCTAAGTATTCGAATGCCTAAATCGGTCACACTGTCCTCGACGCGTTAATTCAGAGCACTCCGCGTATTTTTCATAAAAATGTCGGGGATAGCAGTGAAATGCCGCGTCGCGACTGCAGTGTTTACAAATCGCTGTACCGTAGAAATCTGCATTCGGGAAAATTGAATCGATTCGGTGGGATGTTACGCGTCAGCTTTGTAATTGTATTTATTGCTGTTTATTCTTCGTCTCGATTGACGTTCTGGTAAAATTCTATCCAGGAAGATGATGGAAACCGCGTTTCCCTTGGTGCAAAATCCGAAAGTAGCGATAAATCGATCGTTAATCGTATAGAAAAGATCGTTATAGCCTATCGAGAAATAGGACTGTTCTTATTGTTTGGAAATTGTTAATGGAACAAAGGAGGAAAGAGATGATAATGGTTTCGTACGATGAAACTTTTATTCTTCGGTTCTTTATGCACGTTTCACATTATGAACGGGTTCGAGTGAATAATGGAATAGACAGTGCTACTAGGAAAATGTAAATTGCGTTCCGCCGATGCCACTGTTTCGCCGTTCATCACGAGGCGCATCACGATTATAGTTGAAAACTCATTTGACCTTAACACGCTTCCGCGGAGTATATATTTTCGAGCGGGTGCATATCGGAGAACATTACTTATAGCGTTTCCAGTTCTTGATGGGAATATCAAATTTCCCCTGATCTGCTTAGAATTTTAAATTAGTTGTTTTATATGTAGGTATGTGGAAAGGGTT